GCACTCTTTAAATATAAATTTTAACCTTTGGCTCAACAGGAATATCCTGTAACTGACCTCCCCCCCCCCAATTGGTAAGCCTAAACGTGCGATTTTAGCTAAGCAAGATCACAAACACAAACGCACACACATGGGGGGTTGGTTTGATTTTTTTGAAATAAACAAACAGCAGGAAACTATAACTAAAAGCAAGTAATCAAAAAAGAGAACTAATAATGTCAAACACCAAAGATTGAAATCACACAACTTGAAACTCAAACCTTGTTTTGTAATTAAGAAAAGTGATTTAATGAACCTTAAGTTGTGATCATTAGCTAAGTAAGTATGTGAATACCGGGCAACTCAAGCTAGTGAATTACTCCACTTGTTCATACTGAATAGCTAAGTCTAGAACTAGTTCTACACCTAACCCCTACACAACCCCTACACAAATTCAAAAGTTTAATTAAAATGATTTCATTAAAATAAAATAAGAACTTGAGATCTCACTACAACCTTGCAAGCAACTGAAGCAAGATTTTATAATGAAAAAAGATTAGAAGACCAAAGGGTAGAGATCATTAACTACTTGACCTAAACCCAATGTTAGAGAGTTGGTTTTACCTCTATTTGTAATTGATGTACACTCAAGAGGTCAGAACACCATTAATGATTGTGCTTACTTAATTCATTTAGTTTAAATAAAATAGCATGAATCATCATTGAAAACATGCTCATCTAACCTACTACTCATGAACCCACTAAATTTGCACAATATCATGCTTCAACACATTAAATTAGGCTCATAACTCACAAACCAAACTGAAGACATCCACTACTTACTCATATCCATATCAAACAAACAATTAATGATTCAAATTTGACCAAACATAATAATAAAGAAATCCTCAACTAAAACTCCAAGATAAGATGCAGAAGTACGAGTCCCGTGTTGAATGGCTCGGACCACCCTCAACGAATCCGAAAACAGATCAACATCACGAACCCCTCTCGTCTTAAGCCAAGAAAGTTCTTTCCTAGCAAACTTCTCAGACATAATAGTGTCTTGAGAACATTGGAGGTGTTCGATAAATGTCGCTTGAATAGAGCAATCATAGCCAATTAAGGTACACCCAAACCCAACATCCCATTGCCAAAGATCCCATCAACTTTCATTCTTTCTCTTGTTGTGGCACCTCTTGCAACGCATAATCCAACCAGCTCTGACTCATATGTATCACCATCTACTTCGTTGCCTTTGGCGGAGGAACCTGTCGATCCCATATTACCTTATTCCTCTCCATCCAGATAGCCCAAATATTCCATGCCAATATTTGCAATCTCTTCAGCGAAAGTGTGAATGAGGAGGCTTAGAACTAGGTTGCAAAAGAGCCAACCCCCTCCGGACCACCCCCTTTCCAATAAGAATCCATACCATATTCGCAAAAGGAAAACACAAAAGATATGATCCAGGAACTTCCCAAATTTACAGGAAATAGGGAACTAATTATCCATTTTTATCCCATTGCGATTAAGAGCCTTGATAGTAGGCAAAATGCCTTTAAGCTCTCTCTAAATATAAACCTTAACCTTTGGCTCAAAAGGAAAATCTTGTTAACGCCCCCAATTGGTAAACCTAAACATGTGATTTGCCTCACACATAAGCCATCTATACCCATCTTTACCTGAGTATTTCCCCTAAGCATCTCCTTGCCAATACTAATAGTCCTGATAAAGCTCAAGGGGAATTCTACAAGTTTGCTCGATCTCACATTATTCCATAATAGAATTAAGCATTTTAATATTTCACGTACTTATATGTGTGTCAATGATACTCCGTATTTTCTTTTTAAACGGCGGTTTAGCTTCTCCCAATATTGCTTTTCTTTTTATACGGATTACTTTCCTCATAAGCTCTCTCCAATCGATGCGACCGAACAGTTCATTTTCCACTGTAGCTTTTTTATACTGATTACTTTCCCCATAACCTCTCTCCAATCGATGCGACTGAACAGTTCATTTTCCACTGTAGCTTTTTCATACTAATTACTTTCCCCATAGCTCTCTCCAATCGATGTGACCGAACAGTTCATTTTCCAATGTAGCTTTGAGCGGGAAATGTTACTGTTCATTTTCTCCCTTTATATTAGTAGATATAGAGATAGAGATAGAGATTGGCGACCCAATTTCCAACCCGGACCCAGACGAGAGCTTTGATTTTCGATCGAGATTGGACGCACAGCAGCAGCCAGCAGCCTCTTCATCGACGGAAACCAACATCCTCGCCGGCGACCCTCAACAGCAGTGACGGACGGACCTGCGACCAACAGTCCCTGCTCCAGACCTGCACAGCCGACTATTGTCAACATCCACACCAGAAGCCGAAACTAGAAATTGCAGCCCTGCTCCCTCCAGGCCAGCGACGACCTCCGGCGAGCTTGCAATGGCGACCTCCGGTGAATTCCTGGGTTGTGGCTGACGCGGAATGCAGAGCAGAGGCACTGGCTGCAGATCCAATTCCATTTAAAGTGTGAAATTCCAGATTTGCACTTGATTCTTTTCCTTCCTTATTTTCTACTCCCTCCGTCCTAAAACTTTCTTCCCGGTTCGCAAAACGAAGAAAAATTCCAAGTTTTTTCAATCTATTTTATTTAAATATTGGTATAGAAATAAAAAATAAAACATGCATATTTAAAAACTACATCAAAAGTTCAACAAAACAAGTGGTGACAAGAATATTTTATTTTAGGAAAAATTGATATAAATACTCCCAGAAATTTGAAATTTTACAATAATACTCCCAAATTTAATAAAAGACTCTGGTGCTCCCAATTAAACTATAAGTTTACATTACTACTCCCACTATGCCTAATCAGCTTTTCTTATGCTTACATGTAAGTAATTATACTTAGTTGTCATCTTAGTTGTTTTTTTTTTGTTTTAATAAGAGGAAAAAATTATATAAATACTCATAGAAATTCAAAATTTTACAATAATACTCCCAAAATCAAATAAAGACTCCAGTTCTCCCAAAAGTATATTCTCATTGCACGTTACTATATTTGACTGAAATTATTTTTAAAGTATTTTATATGAAAAATGGTGTGAAATTAAAAAAATAAAACTTACATAATAAAAAACTAATATAGTAATATGTAAAAAATTTTTTAGTCATATTAAATATTAATTAATTGAGCTTAATTGGCATCTTAGTTATTTTTTTATATTTTAATAAAAATTACCTCCTTCGTCCAAAAATTATCTTCTCATTCACTATTAAGAGTATTAACAAGATCAAATTTTATTTACTTTGCTTACTTATTTTAATTATATATTTGATAAAATAATATAATTATATCATTACTAGTTTTATAGATCTTATGGTGTAGTTTTTAGATATATAATTTTATTTTTTGATTTCACACCACTTTTATTTAACATCGTAACTTGTAAAAGGAAGATATTTTTTAGAGTACTGGAGTCTTTATTTAGTTTTGAGAGTATTATTGTAAAATTTTTAATTTCAGGGAGAATTTATATAATTTTTTCTCTTATTAAAACAAAAAAACAACTAAGATGTCAACTAAGCATAATTACTTACATGTAAGCATAAGAAAAGTTGATTAGGCATAGTGGGAGTAGTAATATAAACTTATAGAGTCTAAGAACACAAAAAATACTCAAGAACAATACTCTCTTTTAAAGTGGATAATGAGTAACTAAGAACGCTCAAGAACACA